TTTTCTTAGCTTGGCTAGATGCCTATTGGTTTTGTTGATATTTTTAAAGAAATAGCTTTTGGTTCATTGATTATTCTGTATTGGTTTATTGTTTTCAGTTTCATTAATTTCTTCTCTAGTTCTTGTTATTCTTTTATTCTGCTTATTTTGGATTTAATATGCTCTTTCTTTCCCAGTTTCCTAAGGTAGGAACTTAAGAGTATTGATTTTAGATCTGTCTTTTCTAATACATGCATTCAGTGGACACATTTCTGTAACCACTACTTTCACTGCATTCCACAGATGATAAGTGTAAGTTTTTTTTTTTGTTTGTTTTGTTCAAAATACTTTAAAATTTCTCTTGAGATTTCTTCTTTGATGCATGTGTTATTTAGAAATGCATTGTTTAATGTCCATGTTATTCAGGAGTTTTCTAGTTATGTTTCTGTTATTAGGTCTAGTCTAATTCTATTGTGGTCTAAGACCAGGCACAATATGATTTCTATTCTTTTAAATTTGTGACGGTGGGTTTTATGACCCAGAATTTGGCTTATCTTGGTCATCTTGCAAGCTAGAAAAGAATGTATATTCTGCTATGCCTGTGTTAGTTTTATGTTAGTCATTCGTAAACCAAAATGTGTAAGAATTGAAGAAGATGTGAAGATATATTTACCTTAGAAATTTTGTGTTACATTTAATCAGACATATTCTTGTTCCATAAATAATTAAGAAGTAAACATAAAATAAGCGAGTAAAAGCTAAAAATCTTTTTTATTCGTTTCAACTTCTGCTTTTGTTAGTATTATCTAAATCTAGGAAGTAAATTTTACATTCTTTATTTTTAATCTTTATTTACTTATGATGAAACAAACTTTACTAGACTTTTTAATAGAAAAGATATATCTTTTTTTGAATGTGACAGAAGTGGCAAACCAAATTATGATGATGATGAAAGTAATTTCAAAGAGATACAGACCAAAAGAGTTTGTACTTGTTTTGTTGGGAGGTATTATCCCTCCTATAGTGAGTTCAGTTTTTAGCCATTATTGATAGGGAGGTGCTAAAACCACAGTGGGGTTATTTGCAGCGATGTACTGGCTGCTAAAACAATAAAACCACCAACTTTAAGTGGCATTTATATGCACGGCATTATATTCACAACCACAAATGGCTTATTTGAAAGAAAGACTGTCACTTTTAAGAACCTGACAGCAGCAGATCATCAGGATTTCATTAGTGTTTTGTGAGTTTCTTTTCCAGTCTGACTTCAGGTTGCTGACATTAAAAAACTAGGTATGACAAGTGAAAGATGTTTGCCGAAAGGTCTTGGATGAGTCTGTAGCAAAGTAGATAGTTAATGTAATGCGCCCCAGCTATGCCCATAATTTGTTATATTTAGGGACAGTTTAGGGATACAGTTGTTACAATATGATCAGTACCTTGATTTAACAGTAATGTGAAGAAAGAAGTTACTTTTCACCTTCTTTGCTGACAAACACAGCTTGCTCTGAGGTATATAAAACTTTGAAGGGTCAAAGATGAGGTTTGCAGGAGTATGTTCTGATTATATAGAGACAGTGACAGGGAAGAAGTGCTGCAAACTTGTGCCCGAGTGTAAATCAGTGTCTGCTTCTTTCATTGACAGAGTCTTGTTAGGCCAGGTGAACTAAACAGTGTGCTTTAGATCAACGAAATTAACAGTCACTATAAGTGTGAACTACTTAAATGCTAATATATTAAATTTGAGGTTTAAAGAAAATTAAAAGATATTAACTGTTACCTTATGCTGACATATACAGTAATTTTTAAAGGGAAACATTCTGACAAAAATGTTTGACTTTTGGGATGAACACTTCATGTTTTTACAAGCAAAAAAACAGGTTTTATAAATCAACTCTACTTCAATCTTCATTCTAATCCCCAAAAAAGTCAATGCCAAAGAATGTACAAACTACCGCACAATTGTACTCATTTCTTATGCTAGCAAAGTAATGCTCAAAATTTTTCAAGCTAGGCTTCAACAGTATGTGAACCGAGAACTTCCAGGTGATCAAGCTGGATTTAGAAAAGGCAGAGGAACCAGAGATCAAATTGCCAACATCCATTGGATCATCGAAAAAGCAAGAGAGTTCCAGAAAAACATCTACTTCTGCTTCATTGACTATGCTAAAGCCTTTGACTGTATGGATCACAACAAACTGTGGAAAATTCTTTAAAGAGATGGAATACCAGGCCCTTACCTGCCTCCTGAGAAACATATATGCAGGCCAAGAAGCAACAGATATAACCAGACATGTAACAATGGACTGGTTCCAAATTGGGAAAGGAGTACGTCAAGGCTGTATATTGTCACCCTGCTTATTTAAATTATATGCAGAGTACATCATGCAAAATGCTGGGCTGGATGAAGCACAAGCTGGAATGAAGATATCTAGGAGAAATACCAATAACCTCAGAAACACAGATGATGCCACCCTTATGACAGAAAGCAAAGAGGAACTAAAGAGCTTCTTGATGAAGGTGAAAGAGGAGAATGAAAAAGGTAGCCTAAAACTCAACTTTCAAAAACAAGATCATGGCATCTAGTCCCATCAGTTCATGGCAAATAGATGGGGAGAACAAATTTAGACAGCATATTAAAAAGCAGAGACATCACTTTGCCAACAAAAGTATGTCTAGTCAAAGCTATGGTTTTTCCAGTAGTCATGTATGGATGAGAGAGTTGGCCCATAAAGAAAGTCGAGCACCGAAGAATTGATGTTTTTGCACTATGATGCTGGAGAAGACTATTTGAGAGTCCCTTGGACTGCAAGGAGATCAAACCAGTCAATCCTAAAGGAAATCAACCCTGAATATTCATTGGGAAGCCTGATGCTGAAGCTGAAGCTCCAGTACTTTGGCCACCTGATGTGAAGAACTGACTCATTAGAAATACCCTGATGCTGGGAAAGATTGAGGGCATGAGGAGAAGGAGATGACAGAGGACGAGATGGTTGGATGGCATCACTGACTAAATGAACATGAGTTTGAGCAAACTGTGGGAGTTGGAGAAGGACGGGGGTGGGGGGGGAAGTCTGGTGTGCTGCAGTCCATGGGATCGCAAAGAGTTGGACACAACTGACCAACTGAACAACTAGAAATATTTCAATTTAAAAAAAAAGAAACTAGTTTGATCCCTAGCCTTTTAAATATGTGTATGAGACTTGTCTGTCTGATTGCATCATTCTTTTTTTTAAAAAATGATCTTAATTAGACTTTTGTGCAAGAAAGAAATGTCATATGTTTTCAGTGTTACATAAAGACAAAAAAAAAGAAAGTTAGAAATTGGCAGAAATATTTTTCAAATTGTTATGGTTCGTTCTACAATACATCAGTAAGTGATGATTTTAGTATTGCACATTTGCAAAATGTTATAATCCGTTACCTTACAAATTTGATAAGATACACTTTGAATTTTATTTTCCATCAAAAGAAAACCCATGCATAGGGTGTTAATGGATCAAAATCCTATTATCTTTCATCAGAAATTGTTTCAGATTTAGCTGTAATTTTGATGGGTAAATGATTGGAACTGGCTACCAGTAAAGCATTGAGGACAAACTTTGAAAAGTGTCATTTTCTGCATATTGGGTAAAAGTTAAAAATGAGTATACTGAGCTTGCTAAAATTGCTTTAAAGTCTCTTCTGGTCAATATACATCTGTGAAACTAATTTTTCTATTGTGAATGCTATTAAATCATAGAGGTAGTTTAGATATACTTTACCCCTTGTGATCAGCATTGTCATCAGTCCAGCCTAGAGTAGGTTGATTAGCAAGAATGATTCTAGTCTCCAAGAGCGCGCCCAGGAAGCTCTGCTTCCTGGTGGTGTCACCTTGTGCAGCCCTTCCCCACACCCCGCCCAGGGCTGATGTGATCCTGTCACTTCTGAGGTTAGGCCGTGAGAGGCTGCGGTGCTGTCCTGGCTTTGTGTCACTCTGTCCCTGGAAGCTCTCTGTCTGTGGTGAACAGTCCGGCAGAGGAGCCCGCATACTGAGTACTGAGGCTTTTGACCAGTAGCCGGTTTGAAGCTGAGGTGTTTTGCCATCAGTCGTGTGAATGAGCTTACAGCCAAAGTCCCCTCCAGTCCAGGCAAGCCTTCAGATGACTGTAGTCCTGACCAGTAAGAGACCCTGAATTATAAACACACAGCTAATTTGCTTCCAGATTCCTGACCAACAGAAACTGTCAAATAATTGTGTTGTTTTAAGCCACTAAATTTTGGTATAATTTTTTATGCAGTAATAGATAACTAATGCAAAAAAATAAGAAGCAAGCTTATTTGATATATTAAAGACATATGCTATTAGTTCAGTGTGAATTGGTATTTAATATGAAGAATTGCTATTTCACTGATAACTTTTGGTCAAATAATTAAGAATTACAAAATGACAAAAGTTGCCAGTTGACAGCTGTTTTTTGACAATAATTGCCTATATGCATACTTCCAATGATGATGACTCATTTTAATGTAATTCTTTTTCTTGTTTAGCCTATTACTAAAATATAATTTTACGGGTCTGAATCTAATTTAACATTTAGGCTTACATTTTGTGTGATGTTTTTCACTTTTATCTTTCCAGTTCATTTCTACTTGATCTTACTAAAATATTGGCCCATGATGTAATGGAATTTAAAAATAAAAGGAAACAGAAAGTAGTTCTTCACTACCTTGTATATTTCTATTAGTCTACGTTAGGTCCCTTGTCATAGTTCTCAGAGTACCTTACACTTAACCTTATTGTGATGGTTGTCTTGCTTTATGGTCATTGGTTATGTTCTTGTTACACTGAAAGTTCTATGAAAGTCAGAGTCCATGTCTGTGTTTCCTGTCACACCCCCAGTACTCAAAACAGTGTCTGGTACTTAGCAGCTTCTCAGTAGATATTAATCAAAAGAATTATTTTTTTTTTGTATTTTTGTTGTATTGAAAAACTGAATATGAGGTATCTTTAAAAAAATGTATCTTTTTAATTTCCATAGCACAACCACTGCCTCTGAAGAAGATGTCTCAAGTAGATTTCCCCGAACAGATAGAAGTGGATTCAGCAGGTATAACAGGGATGCAAATGCTTCAGGTAATTTGGTCTCAAGTAGCACATTGGAAAAGAAAATTGAAGATCTTGAAAAGGTATGAATTATAAATTATTTAAGACCTATAAAATTAATATACCATTAGGATTCCTTTTTCGCTTTCATAGCAGCTGAAAGAGAAAAATTGAAATCTGTACGGAAGAGGCAGTACCAGAAAAGGGAAGAAATGAGAGGCATGATGGGAGCTACTGTGAGCGTTAATTGTACTCCCACGTGTAGTCAGACAGCAACTTTGAACCACTCTTAATTAGATATTTCCTAGACGCGAAGTGGCTGAGCGTTTTCTGATTTCTTAGTACTGTTCTATCCAGTTCTGTTGATGTTAAAACTTTTAGAAATGGAGCCAGTTCTTGAATTGCTTAGTATTTAATGGCTCCTCTCATTCTGCCAAGTGTTATCTTTAATATTGATATATAGAAAACAGTCTTTGCCTTTGAAATGGTTAGAAGTCTATGCTAGCAGTGTCTGCTACTGTGTGTTTATTATTATATAATCTATACAGTTTGTAGACTTTCCTCTACATTCTGAGTTAGAGCCTAGAGCTGCTGTGATGCTTGCAACAATTTTAAGAGTAAACCTGTTTAAGAGTTATCTTCGTGGCTCAGACAGTGAAGAATTGGCCTGCAATGAAAGAACCGTGGGTTTCATCCCTGGGTCAGGAATGTCCACCCTGGAGAAGGGAATGGCTACCCACTCCAGTGTTCTTGCCTGGAGAATCCCATGGACAGAGGAACCTGACGGGCCACAGTCCATGGAGTCGTCAAGAGTCGGACACTGCTGAGCGACTAACACTTGAGAACATGTCAAATGAATATTGGCATTAATTTATTAACCATGGGTTCTCAAGTTTGTTCTTTAGACATTCAATCCCTAAAATTAATAATGGTGCTGAATTACTTTCTGATTGTTGAAAGCATATCTTGTTGAATTGAAATAATTCCTTATAAAAGTTGTTTTAAGTAGAGATTGAATTTTATTCTTTTTTATAACATGATTATTTTTAGTTCATGTTTGAACTTTTACACTGGTTTCTGTGAGTTTAAATTGAACAGCTTTAAAAAAATAAATACATTGAACAGCTTTAAGGGATATATAGTATAATAGTCTTCAAGTCTGTGCACGCTCAGTCGCTCAGCTGTGTCTGACTCTTTGTAACCCTTTGAACTCTCACCTGCCAGGCTCCTCCGTCCTTGGGTTTGTCAGGCAAGAACACTGCAGTGGGTTGCCATGTTCTCCTCCAGGGGATCTTCCTGACCCAAGGATTGAACCTGTGTCTCCTGCATTGCAGGCAGATTCTTTACTTCTGAGACATCTGGGAAGCCTTAATAGTTTTCAAGGGGGTTCATCAAAGAAGGCTTTTAAAATTCACAGAAGTTTGGACTGAGTTGTTGGCAGAAGCTGATTAATGAGACTGTCTGACTACTTTCCTCTGAGGTCATAAGAAAGAAGCCAAATTCGGCTGAGACCTTTTCAGTTCAGCTTCACTTTTGCTTCTAAGATGTCTGACCCAGCCTAAAGTCCTGGGTACTAAATAAGATTTCTTTGAAAAAGGTGTTGCATTGTTTCTTTTTGTTTGTTTATTTTGGCCTCACTGCATGGCTTGGTGGATCTTAATTTCCCCAATCAGGGATCAGACCCACAGCCCCTGCATTTGGAACCTTAAAGTCTTAACTACTGGATGACTGGGGAAGTCACTGCATTGTTTAACTGGAGAAAAAGTTTAAAAGCTAATAATCATTTTCAGCTCCTTCATTTTACCCATTTATCAATTAACTGGCAGAGCCAAAAGTAAAATGGAGGATCGTTATTTTTCTGTTTTTCACAGAGCAATCTCCTTTTCTTAAACTTTGTATTTTGAACAAAAATTTTGAATTTCCTTCAGCAGGGTATTAGTCATTTAATATTAAGAGATTTTATTACTAATGGTGGTGATCAACTAAAGAGCTAAAGTCATTGTGCTTAGTTGCTCATTCATGTCCGACTCTTTGCAACCCCGTGGACTGTAGCCCACCAGGCTCGTCTGTCCACGAGATTCTCCAGGCAAGAAGACTGGAGAGGGTTGCCATGCCTTCATCCAGGCGGCCTTCCCAACCCAGGTCCCCGCATTGTAGGCAGATTCTTTACCATCTGAGCCACTAAGGAAGCCCATTTGAGTATTGGTATTTGTTAAAAACTTGGGTAAACATTGATTTAATCGGAAATATATTTTACAACTCCTGTATTCCTCTCATTCCCTGGTTCTTTCTGTGGGATAGGTTCCTCCTTCCCTCCCCAGGTGACTTAAGAAAGTCACTGTAAATCTTCATATAACCAGATTTAGTGGATGTATACTATTTAAGATTAGAAACAACTTGTTACTTCTCAATTAATACTTTGTAATTTTATGTACCAGGAGGTGGTAAGAGAGAGGCAAGAAAACTTAAGACTTGTGAGATTAATGCAAGATAAAGAGGAAATAATTGGAAAACTCAAAGAAGAAATTGATTTGTTAAATAGAGTGAGTATTCACATATTTCATTTTAATGGTTTTGTTTTTTCCTGTCAATTGGATGAAAATACATAAATATGAAGCAATTTTATTTAATAATGTGAACTGAATAGTTCATTCCTTTGTTAATGTCATAGTAATTTGTGGTAGTCAGGACTGTCATTTCATTCCACAAACTGATTTCCTCTGGCCAATTATCACTTGTATTTATGTTATTCTTCTGGGGATGAACCAGTGAATGGATTTATTTTGTGTTTTGTTGGAGTCTGGAGGTAAGAGGCAGCTTGGTCAGCGCCACACATAACACATACAACAGTACTGGCTCAGAGTTGCCTCAAAGAAGAACTGAAATTACTCTTTCTTGCCATAAGAAACTCCATGTGTCTTAATCTTAATTAATTAATCTAGTCTTAGCTCTAATTCTAGAAGCAGAGAAACTAGAAAGCTGCATTATGTGCAGACTCATTCTAATACAGCTCCATGGCATTAACAGTAAGGTGTGCAGGAGGACACTGAAACTCGGGGTTTAACTTGCTGAAGGTCGTGTGTAGGAATTGCATAGTTATATGATGAGCCAGTAATTGACCTTCAGGTATTCAATAGTCTTAATTTTAAGTAAGGTCTTTCATTCTTCTTGACTGCCTTTCATCTTGGTTCAGAACATGGGCATTCCTCTATTGGCTATAGAATGTGATTTAATAAAATCTGCAAATATGTTTGATGTCTGTGATGTATTGGCACTGCCTTAGGCACTGTGTTTATTAAAAAGCGTAAAACACTTATCTTTACAGAGTTTATAACCTAATAATGATATATGAATATTATTTTATGATTTAATGATAAATCTTAGGTAGGTCTCAGTTGTAGTACTTTTAGGAATCTCATATCTTTATTATTGGTTTTTTGGTCCCAACAAATTACTTTCCTAATATCATTTATTTAGTTTGTGAGTAAATTACAAATTCTGTGTTTGTACTTTTAGAACTCAATTCAAAGACAGTATACTAAATGTATCAGAATGCTGCTGTCCAATACTATACTTAGAATTCAAATTTATTTCTCCCAAGTTTAGTATTTTGAACGCAAGGGTAAATCTATAAATGTCTGCTTTTCCATTCATCAGTAAATAGTCTGCCTTGAAATTGTGTTTCTTCAAACTGAAAATTACAGTGGATTGTCTTTGTATTTATCGAGTGATTGTATTTAGGGCACTAGGATTAACATAGACAACATAGACCTGGAATCTGATAACTTTAAAGCTGGAGGGTAATTACATAGTGGCTTTTGCATTTTTGTAAACTCAAAAACCTTTCTCTAAAAAAAATTATCATAGAGAAACCCTAACGTAAATTGAACCAGATCAACTTGGTAAGCCCCAGATCTCCTTTTCTGTGCCTCAGTTACGTCACCTCCCCAGATTCTCACTCCTCAACATGAACACTTGTTAAGATCACCCAAGGTGATGGGAGTCTATATAGAACTTGTGCTTGAATCCTTCTTAATGCCTAATGTGACACACGTTTGCAGTCCGAGGCCCCAGACCTCTTACTGACTGCATATGTATTTAGCCCTCAGTTTGGGGAAGGAGGGATTTGTTTTAACTAAAAACTTGTCATTTATGATTAAAAATTGGAAGGTTCACAACACAGTTCTGCTTTCTGACTTCTCTTTAAAACCTGAAAGATCTGACAAGAGCTGGCCTGCATCATCATCATGCTAGTGAGGAGTCTAAGAGTGCATGCTGCCTTTACCTGGGGTGCATATTCCTTCCAAAATTGTTTTCAGAAATCATCCATGTTTCCAAATTGTTTATATGAATTATCTTTGAATGTGCATTTTGAAGTGTTTTTTTTATCACCTTCAAAATATTTTTAAGCATTTAAAAAGCTTTTATATTATTTTCCTTTTTGTTTCCTAAAGGACCTAGATGACATAGAAGATGAAAATGAACAACTAAAGCAGGAGAATAAAACTCTTTTGAAGGTTGTTGGGCAGCTAACAAGGTAGAAGATTCAAGGCTCAGTGTGGAAAAATATTTTAAAACTACTGAATGTTATGGTTAATGCTAGGACAATATTCCTATGCTGTAATGCATTAAACTAACTATGTATATTTATTTCTAGAAAACAGTGGGTGTTTCTTTTCAAAATATTTCTTTTTCATTATCATTTTAAAAAAGTATCAACCTTTTACTCCATGAATAAGTAACATCTTTTAGTTACTAAACTGGTAGGTTAGGCCTCTTGGTTTTGTGTTATATTCAAATAATATATGGTTTAAAGTCACAACCATCTGAATATATTGCATGTATGATAGTATGTTTTCTCCCTTAAAGAATATACTTAATCTTTGTTTACATGAATTCAGATACTTTTGGGGGAATTACCTGCAAATGCCTTATTACTGATGTGTGCAACTTTTTATATGTTAATGATATTTCATAAAGGTCTTTGTCTACTGTCATTTTTTTTCTCAGCTTATTCTAATCAAGTTAGAAGAACATAGTCACACTTTTTGTAACAGTCATCTTTAAAAAGGAAAGCTAAAAAAGTCACTTAATATCGTGTACTAGTTGGCTAAATATAAAATATGAGAATACTTGAATTGTGCTATATATAATAAATTAAAATGTACTATTTTGTATTCAGATATTGAAAAAAAATTTAAATCACTTTGACTTTGGAAAAACATACAGTTGTAATTTTAATGTGTAATTTCTTATGTAGGTACTGCTTTTTTTATTATTATTCCAAGGTTTATAAGTGAACATGGAGTATTTTAAAAGTTGTTTATTCATCAAGCCTAGACAGTATGTATAATTTCAGTGACTGTATAAGAAAAACAATTCATATTTTTAACTACATGTATTAAAATCAAACAAAAATACTTATCCACATTTAAAAGATTTATATTTACAGTAACAAAGCAGTGCATAAACAGAAATAGTACTGAAATACTTTGCTTAATTTCTGACTTGGCAGATAACACTGTGACACAGCTGTTCTCATATGAGAAAATTATTCCCCTACCTCAAATTTAAGGAATTTTCCTCTTAACTTTGGATTTTTAAAAACAATTACTTTGAAGAATTAGGAAAATTTTCTTTCATTAAATAATAATAGTATTTAGACTTGTTTTATGTTACATTTTCATGTTGAGTAAAGAAATTTTCTCCTTTAAGATACATTAAGAATGGTCTGTCTGATGTTGAATCTCTAATAGTATACCAGTTAATGTATGTAAATAGCTTGAACATAGTAAAATCCATTTTGGGTACCTACCGACTCATCACTTGCTGAGTCACTTCATGATTCACTGTTAGAAAATAGGGAGGGAAATTGCAGAGTAAATGGTAAATATCAGATGCTGAATTCTGAAGCTCTTCCAATAGCCTGGCTTGTACCCTCTCACCTGCCACACTCCTTCACTTCAGAGGTTCAGTTTTCAGTAATCATCAGAGTCACCTGGTTGCTTAAAAGGGGTCCCTGAGTTACCACTTCCAGGTAGGGTTAGGTTGAGACCTTAGATAGAGTAAGCTCAGCACGTGGTGATTCTGGTCGTAATTTCAATTTGGAAACAGCGCCTCGTGCCTCTTTCCTCCCATATCTTCTGTTGGAATCACTGAAATTAACATAATTTTAGCTATCAGCATTATTTCACCCTTTAGTTTATTTAATCATTAACTTTGTCTCTGGGAAACTTCTCATATGTCCATATATGTATATATATTTACCAAAAAGTTCAGTGATAGATTACCAAACTTGGTATAGTTGTAGAATTACTGCATAAGGGCATCCTTTTTGGAGACTGTTCCCAGCATGGGAGTAGTGGTTTGCTGCCCACTTGTCAAAGTGGCATGCCAGGCTCAGTCACTGGCTTTGGCTGTCCTCATCTCCCCTTTCTTTACCCTTGAATGTATGGCAGAAATATCAGTATTGCCTTGTTTCCCATCGTAGTTTATATATTGTGAAAATGGTGTCAGTATCCAGCCTTAAAATATATTAGTGTACTCATTTTCCAAATAAGAGAAGTATTTTGAATTTTCTGTTTAATCCATTGGGAAGTAAAGAAATACCTCATTTCCCTTTTTAAATTTATACCAGGTATTAATGCTTTTAAAGACAAGGCCGTTTTAAAATTTTTCCTTTATTTTGGTTTATCAGGAACGTTTCCAACAATGATCTTTTACATAGTGGTATGTAGTACAAATGCAGGATGGAGCCTGACACCTTTGGCAAAGCAGTTCATGTGCCGTCCTCCTTCCATGCTTAAAATGTAAATTTATGTCACATACAGGTTTTTACACTGAATATTGAAAAGCAAAGTAGGATCTGCTACAGTTTTCCTTTAAATTTTATAAAAAGCATTGAGATTTTTAAAAGGTTACTTAAATGTACACTATCTTAAAATACTTGACTTGTCAATAAAGTGTTAGTATTTGTGAAATTAATAGTCCCATTCAGAAATATTTCTTATATTTCCTGAAAATTTATGGCATAATAAAGCATATCCAGTTTATATGTTTATGATACTATTTTCCAAACAATAAGTTTATTATATTTAGGATAAACATGACTTGCTTCCTTGATTTCTGGCATATATTAACTTGTGAATTAGTAAAGTAATCTGTTTCATCTTTCTAAAATTGTTACTGATTTTGTTGCACTACAGTTACCTTTAGAGAGGAAGAGGAAGGCTTTCTGGTGTGTATTTCTAAGGGAATTTACTAAATGTTGTAAATAGCTTGTCAAACCTGCTCAAGTAGTGTAGCTTCTCATACTTGCTCAAGTAGTTTGTAACATAGAAAATTAAGCATCAGTAGATACCTGAAGCAGTGGATCTTTTAAAATAACTTTTTAATTCCATTAGAAAGCAGTGTATTCCTAAAGGTGAAAATCCTACCTCAATTAACACGTGGCTTATATTTTCTGGATTAATCTGGATTTTTATAATTAGAAACTAAGATGCAAGTTTTTAAGTCCACTTATACTTTGTGGAAAACAATGAAAGTCAATGTAGTAGAATGTCCACATGTTCAATACTGAAAGACACAGTAGGATGGACCTTGGGTTTGATGGTTAATTGGATGTCCTAGACAATATTGATATGTATAATGATGACTATGTATATGTACATCTTATATGTATAAGATGACTATCTTTCACATTTTTGTAATTCTTTAATCTTGACTCAGTACCTAGTAAGTTCATGCAGTATTGGCACTTATTTAATAACTACTCATAATGTTGTTAATAACCTGTTATAAGATTCAGGCATATGTTTTCATCTTGCAACACAAAAAAAGACAAACACACCAGCTTTTCATTGAGGAGAATTTACTAAGTGAGGAGGAACTAGCATTTGGGAATTAGAACTTTAAGATAACATGCTAAAGTCAGTGGTAAATGTTGTTATATCTAAACCATCCCTAATATGTAACAGTAAACTTTCTTTTGCACTGGAACTGTGCTCTCATAAATAAAGGACTTCCCACTGATAAGGATTGTAACTAGTATTACTTACCTGAGAACTAGTGACACTTTTCTTTTGTTGTTTCAATGAACTGAAGACATAGTACTAGTTAGATAGCAAATATTTTGCTAATCAAATCCATCAACAAAGGCACTTCCCCCCATGCTGTTGGTTTCCTCACTGATGTGTAGAAGTTGGTCATTTGATTCTCAGTGTAGGCTTGAATCATTGCCCAAGAAAACCTGAGCCCGTGTTGTTTTTTTAGTTTACTTAGCTAGAATCTCACAGCATATTAAGGTCATATCCCCACTCCCACCCCTAAATAATTACGTTTGAATATGTGAAAAAGGTATGGTTAGGGGAGTATGTTAAATTTGCATACTTACTCTTTTAGCAAGTATTTATTAATCAACTGGGTATACAATTCTAGATATTACAGAAGTTTCAAAACAGTGGACTTGGACCAGCACTTATATCTAGCAGTGTATAATCTGTGATGGTATATAAGTAGCATTAGCTGGTCTAATCTGAATAGTTCATTCAAAAGTATTCCTTTTATATTAATTATCCAGCCATTGTATTTTAGTTCTGGATAATAGGTACTGTTTAATTTGCTGCAGCATTTACTGAATGGTGGAAAAACCTGAACATACTGGGGAAGTATCTTTCCATGTTTCTTTCAGATAATTATATATTATGAAAAGAACATTTTAATGCATTTGGAGCAGTAATGAAGTAAAAAGAATTCAAAGTATGTCAGATACACCCAACTGTTGATGCTATTCAGATGTGATTTTATGCTAGTTTTTTTGTATACATTATTGATTACTGATTTGTTTTTAGGTATTTAAGTCTAATAAACAGTTCACATATTGGCAGTCACTTTGGTAATAATGGAATATTAGTGATGATCACTTGATGGACATTTATTACATGCTTGTTTTGTTTCCCCTTCTGGATACCTGATAGATGTATATTACTTTTTTTTTTTTTCTGGTGAACTTGTTTCTTGAAAGTTTTGACTATGCTATTCAGGGTGTTATGCTTTTCTTTTAAATTTAAGTCTAAGATGTCTGCTGTTACTAGTAAAGACCATATGAAAGCTAAAATTTACTGTTTTGTTGAAAAAGTCAGCTAATTCAGCTAATCCAATTATTTGTAGAGAAACATCTGATAATTTATTGATCACTTTAGTATTGTGTAGACAACTCTCATAATTCTCATTGCATAGGTTTTTACTGGGGTAGTCAACATGATAAAGATTCACTTCTAATATGCTTTGCATGTAAAATAACAAATATTCAATAAAAAAGTAAATTTTCATTTAATTTTTAACACTGGTTAATTTTTTCTTCCTTCCTCTACCATCAGTAAAACCCTGACCTTGAGTTTTATTTTCAAAGTTAAAGGACAGTGCTAATATTCGAATTAACTTTTGTGTCTCTTACTGAAAGAATATGCAATACTTTAAAATCTTTAGAATATAATTGTAGAAGGAATTGTGTTTTAAAAAACAAAAATATAGTATTAATAAATCTGAATACATTTGTGGTGGGGCTTTTTGAAATAGGAAGTGTACACATAATTGTCTTTGTGTTTTGAAGCTACACAAATAATTTCTTAATCCAAACTTGGATCTATCATCCACTAAGTCGGATGGTGGTCAAAGAATTTCAGGTCCCTTATAGTTAGAAAAGATAAGTAGAGATCTAGGAATGTAAAAATCCAGTCTGTTTTTTATAGTAAATGGTTTATAGAACCTTTTGCCTAATGTGTCATTCTTCATACACCTTCCCAGGCTAATCAGTCTTCTTCTAAAACTGTAGATTAATCTTCTCAGTAATGTCATACATGTCTAACAAGTGAAGAAGCATCTTTCAGTCAGGTTGTTTTGATAATGTCTCAAGTCCTTATGTAAGAATGTACTCTATTAGCAAGCTTATTAAAAGAATTTTGCAAAATCTCCTATCTGCACTGGAACTGGAGCCCTTTATCTTCATCAAATCCCCTCCCCCCCCCATCTAGATTCACTCAGTGGGTGCACACAATTCTATGAGTAGCTTTAAACTACCTACATAATATTTTAATCTCATGCCTCTAGTGTTTTCTTCCCACTTACACAAGCGGTCACATTTTATTCCTGGTCAGCTTCTTGGAAAGAATTATGTAATATTAGACCTTTATGTTAAAGAAATAAAACTAGTTATAATACCCTTTACAATCTCCCTCCCCCTTTTTTGGATGTCTAACCATGTAAGGCTAAAAAGAAAGCAAAATTTATCTCTTAATTCTGGACCAAATGCACAATTCAACTGTCACTTTCAAAAAACTGCTGTGACTGAATAAAGATGCTTTGAGAAAGCTACTTGGTGTCAGTTAGTTGAGTGATATGAAAAAGAAATGAATATGACCCAGTTAGGAAAGGTAGATTTAAATCACTAAAGAAAATTATGCCAGTAATTTTCATGTTAACTGTATTCTGTGTTGAAATATGCAGAATTACTCAGTGTAAATTATAGTCAATCCATATATGATCAGCTGCTGTACATGTTTAGATATACTGTGGGACATGAAATTTACAGTGTTTGTATGACCATACAGGCTTTTATCCAGGGAAGTATTTGTGTTTCTTTAAAATGTAAACTATTATTATTTTCTATGATTAAACAAAGGTAAATGATGTCATCCGTGGACATTTTAGCTTTTGGAAGCAAATTTTTAAGAAAAATAGTAGAAAGGTGTCTGATTCCTTTTATTATTCTTGTAGTGCAGAAATATAAATAAAGATATCAGTCAGAGGCATAGGAAAGTTCATTTGAAGAACCTGCAAGTCACTTTTGGTAAGAGTACATTCATCTTATACAGTGTTCAGAAAAGTGGGAAAATTATAGCCTTTTGTAGCAGATTGAAAGTTTCATGTATGAATAGTTCGGGACAGTAAACATCACTAACTTGAAGTAAAATTATCCCAGTAATTTTCACATTAACCATATTTATTATTTGAAGTAAATTGGTTAATCAGTGAAAATTGTAATTGAATGAATGGACATTTCAGAATGCTAATTAATGATCAATAGAAGCCTCTTGTAACTCCTTTGAGAGCAATATATCTTCAGTTTGATTAAGCAGAGTAACTCAGTTAACAATTTGAACATAACTTTAATTTCGTATAGGGCTTCCTGAGTGGCTCAGTGGTAAAGAATCTGCCTGCCATTGCAGGAGTCTTGGGTTCAATCCCTATGTCAGGAAGATCCCCTGGAAAAGGAAATGGCAACCCACTCCAGTATTCTTGCCTGGAGAATTCCATGGACAGAGAAACCCCGCAGGCTACAGTCCATGGGATGGCAAAAGGGTCAGTCACAACCTCTAGTGCCTTAACAATTTCATATATCGTGAAAACATTCGGTAGTTAGTAACTCGGTAGCCATATATGCCAGGCATTGTGTTCAGTGCTGTAAGTATTTATTTGATTCCTTAAACTTATGCAAGAAAGAGATTGGGAGATTAATTTGCTCACGGTGACAAAGCAGTGTTTTATACCTTTTGCTATGACATACTTTTATGACATAATCACTGTCCTATTAAATATTTTCCCAGTGGTTCTCAGAGTCTGGTCCCCACACTGGTATCCTTGGCTTCACTTAGAAGCCTGTTAGAATACAAATTCTTGGGCCCCACCCAACAACAGAATGAGGTGAGGCCCAACAATCTGTTTTAACAAGCCCTTCAAATGATTCTGATGCAGGTCAAAGCTTGCAAATTTGCATTATGCATTTCTATTTTTAAGCAAAGATCTTGGTTGGTCTTTTGTCTTTGGACATTGTATAAGTAATATAACAAGAACTTGTTTTTTAAAAAAGTGATCTTTTCAGTGTTGCTTATGTTGCAAAAGATTGTATCAGGAAAAGCCTCAGCATGGATACTGGCAGCTTGACATAAACCTATTAGTTTTGTATTATCTCTGGAACTCAAATGAATTCTTAAGTCCAAGACTCTGTGGAATGAAATCTTTGTTTTTCTGTGTTAAGGTCGATCTCTTATTGCCTGAAACTTTTTGGTATCAGAAATGCATTTCTGTTAAACTTTAAACCTTAATGGGAGCAAATAAATGTATGTTTCATCAGAATTATGGGTTTGTTTTTGTTTTCTTGCGTGTACAGATCCTGTGGGGTAGTCCATGGGGAGACTGAATTTTCAACTTACTCTCTGTGGACTCAGAAATTGAGTAGCATTTTCTCCTTAATTGGCCAGTGATGGTAAATCCACAAACTTGCATCTCAATGAGTAAAGAAAGTTAAAGTCTATTTGGGTTCGTTGTTTTCTTATATTAAGAGGTAGTTAAAGAATTACTTTTTTTTTTTTTTTTTTAACTTTCTAAAAGCTCTGGAGCAGGTTTTGATGACAGAATTCTTATGAAGACACAACAGAGAATACTCAAATAACCCCACACCCGTTTCCCTCTGTTATTAATGTCTGACATTAGTGTGGTGCATTTGTGACAATTAATGAATCATATTGGTGCATTATCATTTACTGACGTTCATACTTGGTTCAGATAGTCTCACTTTTTCCCTAATGTCCTTCCTCTGTTCCAGGATCCACTCTACGATAGCACATGACATCTAGCTGTCCTGTCTCCTCCTTAGACCCTAAATTCTGACAGTTTCTTAGACTTTCCTTGTTTTGATGACCTCAACAGTTCTGAGGATTACTGGTCAGGTATTTTTCATATCTTACTATGGACATTTCAGATATACACAAAAGAAGAGAAATTACCCAATCTTATTTTATCTATGCCCCCCCCCTTTTTTTTTTGCTGAGGTATTTTACAGTTAAATTTCACCTGTAAATACCTGAGTATGTGTCTCTATTAGATAAGGGCTTAAAAAATAACCACAGTATGATCATACCCAATGCATTTAATGCTCGTTTCTTGATACCATCTGTTTAGTTTGGATTCTCCTGGAAGGCCTGCAAGATACTTAGTGGGGAAAACACCTGTGAGGAAACACGGGGAAGGATCTAGGGGAGGTTGGGTAACCTTGGTATAGATCGGACTGCAGTGAAGAAGAGAGGGAAGAAGGATGGCTGAGCAGGAAGTCTTCATCCATAGTGAGGTTTGAAGAAAGTTTTAGCAAGTCTTAAAAAGCCCTCCTGCCAAAGATGCCCATTCATCAGAGTAGTCCTGCATCTTGCAGGAGTGGGCTTGCCTTTGTATTCCTGCTGTGCTCCTTTGTTGTCAGGGCGTAGTCAGGAGGAAGCAGGGTCTTAGCTGAACACCGCGGCAGATTCAGATCACAGCAGCTGTCAGTTAATTACCCACCCTACAGTAGGAGAGTGGAGAAGCCCATTTTCATGGCTGTCGCAGCCTGTAATACTTTATGTTCAAATTTCTGCATGCACCTCAAAAAACGTTCTTTTACTGTTTATCCAAATAAAGATCCAAAATGAGAGTCGTTCATTGCATTTGGTTGCTATGTCTCTTAAGTCTTTTTTAACCTCTAAATTACACACACCTCCCACTTTTGTACCATTTTTCATGTTAAAATTAGAGCATTTGTCTTGTAGAATTTCCCACATTTTGGATTTGACTGATTCTGTCTTTAGGATGCTGTTAAAACTTGTCCCTCTATCCCCTCTGTTATCTGTAAATTGTTAATTAGATGTAGGGACTTTATTAGATTCAATATATACACCTTTTGGGCAGTAATTTTATAGGTACTGTGTACTTCCATTGAATCATATTAGAAGGTACATAATGTCTGGGTTGTCTCATTTTTAATGATGCTAAGACAGATTAACAGATTCAGATGTTACTAGATTTCTTGATTTAAAAATTTCATATCAACCTTTTATGTAGTGGTTTTAGCAAACTTTGATAGGTATTGCAGTGATAATTTTCATATTCTTTCATTCTGTTTACATAAGTACTGAGAATTCTTTAAAAAGAAACTCTTCCATCAATTACCTGGTTTCCCTAGAATATAAGGAAGCTAAGATCACATCCTTTTCCTTTATTTACCAGTTTTACAGTAATGGACCAGAGCCCAAGCAACCTCCAAAGGTAAGTCATACATTTGCTTTATGTAGTTAAAGTGTTTAGTTCATTGCAGTCTTTTATTATGCCCAGCTTATCTCATATTTGGCCCACTGGGTGCCCCTTCCAAGTTGGCTTCTGTGTCCTTTTGGTCATGGATAGCCTCCTTGTTTTTTTCTGGCATTAGTTGTTCTAATGTCATCTTGTGCATTTCCTTTTTAGAACCTGGAATTAAAGGTTACCTCTCTTTTGTAGAAAATTAAAGCCATGATAATCATCTAAATTATCAGATGAAATAAAAACCAGAGAGCGTTTGCAGAGCTCTTAACTGTAAAAGCTACAAGGACTTTGAAACATTTTCCAACTGGCACTTCTACTGGAAAATTTTTAAATGATGGAAAGCTCCTTGTTTCTTTGCGATTTCTCATTCATTCATTTTCTGTGCAAGTGGTAAGCAGATCTTAGATATCTTGACTTGAAAAAAATTTTAAATCTATTCATGTCTGTTAAGAACCTCAGGACACTACTATAAAACTCAAGTTTTTTTGGTAGTTAAATCCTATTAAAATGGTGTTCAAGTTAGAATGCAGCACAGAAGAAATGTCAACATGTATAGGTGTTCATTGAGTTGGATGTGAAATATCAGCTTATATAATAAGGTATGCTAATAAAATCATAATAAAAGTGGTACCCAAATTGTGCCCCCCCCCCATTTAAATTTAGCCCACTGGGCACATCTGAGTGAGGCTCAGTTCCGCAGTGCAAGCCGAGTGAGTTTCGCAGTTGCCGTGCGGCAGTCGTGGTGAGGGGAAGAGGAGTGTTGGGTGACGACTGGAGGCAGGTGGTGAAGTTGCCCTGTGACCGAGCCCCCAGGAGTCCTTGCTCTTTAGAGTAAAGCCTGGCTGCTGGCCGCTGCCACCTAGGACACCACTTGATAATGAACACTGACAAAACCTTTCTTCTATTCCTGCCAGTGCCTCCATCCAGAAAGAAGGACCCTCTCTTTTCTTCCAAAATACGGAAACCAGCTGTTGCCTAGAATTAATTTCTCTCTTTCTTTATGGGAGTGCTGGGTCTCCGTTGCTGCACATGAGCTTTCTCTGGTTGCAGGGATTGGGGGCTGCTCTTGTGCATGGCCCTCTCTGCAGGAGTTTCTGTCGTTGCGGAGAAGTGCAGGCTTTAGAGCGCAGGCTCAGTGGTGTGGTGCATGGACTTCGTTGCTTCACAGCACGTGGAATCTTCTCAGACCAGGGATTGAACCAGTGTCCTCTGCATTGGTAGGCAGACTCTTAACCACTGGACCACCAGGGAAGTTCTAGAATTCTTGTATTTTGCATCTTGCATTGGTTCACAAATATTCCTTATATATTTGTGCTATCTCTGGTTCTGGGCACTCAGTACATCATAGTGAAGGAAAAGACAAATCCTAGCCTACACCAATTTATTTCTCTGTTGCCCCTAAGAGAATGTAGGCACAGGGTGGATGCTTCCTGAATGTCCTTTGGAACTTTCCAAAAGATGAGAATTGAAATTCACTTATCTTTTGACAGAGAGTAACCTTAATACATATCACAGGCTATAGTTTGCATCATAAAAATCATGCTGATAGGTCTAATATTGGGGAAAGACAAATTTATTCTCCTAATTTTGAGAAATTGGGATTTTGAGCATAAATTCATTAATTTGTTGCACGAGTTTGTCTCCAAATCATATCTTTAATGGCCAATGCTAGTAAGTTCTCAGTGGAGGTCAGGATTCTACATTTTCCAGTACATTCTGATCATCTGAAGCATTTGTAATTATTTACCATTTCTGTGCTTAATTTTATAATGAGTTTCCAAATATGGATCTGTATTCCTGTAGCTCATAAAATTCCCAAAGTCAACCATGATTAAATAAAACTTACTTCTCCATGTGTTTTTCTTTCCTTCAGAGCTCTGCAATTGAGGTGGGGCTAAGTACAGTAAACTTTACAAGCTTTTGGTATCTAGTTACTTGAGAAACCTCCTCCTATGGTGAAGTCATCATCCATTTACTTTTTTTTTCTTTTCTGTGATTGAGTGGTCAGGATACTTTATCCTTTTCCTGTGATTTTTGCCTAAAGATTTATTTCTTTTGGGAAGAACCTATGTAGAGGAAGTAGAACCAGTTTTGCAAGGACAAATCAAGGATAAATCCTGGATTTACTTATAAACTCAGGATAGCACTTTCCCTTTTATACTTATATTTTTAAAAACACTCTTAAAATAACTTAAATTGGTAAGAGTTATTTCCCTTTCCCAGGATACTTGAGAAGTTTCTCTTATTTTGTCTGAGACAGGTTTATAACATCTTCCTAAGTTTGAAAAGGTGAATATCTCCATGTTGATGGGGAAATAAGACTGAGAGGAGTGTTTTACCTTGAGATCACATGGTGATATAAGCAGAATCAGATACCTTTCTAGTGCCTGAAAATGGAGGTGACCACGGTAAGATTATTCTGCAACACTGGTCTGTTTAGAGAAAGGTCAGAGATTAAATAACACTAAAGCCATGTTGTTGTTGTTTAGTGGCTAAGTCATGTCCGACTCGGCCACCCCATGGACTGCATGCAGCCCACCAGGCTCCTTTGTCCATGGGATTTCTCAGGCCAAGAACACAGGAGTGGATTGCCATTTCCTTCTCCAGGGGATCTTCCCGACCCAGGGGTCAAATCCCAGCCTCCTTTTGGTAGGCAGATTCTGTACCATTGAGCCACCTGGGAAGCTTACTATAAAATCATAAGATAGGGGAAATCTTAAAAATTATTTGAATGGAGGGAGAATGGAAATTAACTTTTCTCCTTATCTCTTGAGAGCATGATTTCAATTCATGTGTCCGAGTTTACTCAGGTAGTTGTGGTATAGCCAGATTGTGAATTAGAGGAGGTCTAACTTGGAAGCCAACCTTCCCAGGTGGTAAAGAACCTGCCTGCCAATGCAGGAAAGGTAAGACACACGGGTTGGATCCTGAGGGTTGGGAATATCCCTTGGAGAAGGAAATGGCAACTCACTCCAGTATTCTTGCCTAGGAAATCCCGTGGACAGAGGAGCCTGGCAGTCAACAGTCCA